ATCTGGAGCGTCCATTTATCACGCGCTGTCGAGCCCATACAAAAGCAGGCTCGCGTTTTTACGTTAATATTTGGCCAAACTCGATTACAACGAAAATCAATTAAAAATTTTCACATGCGATGTAATCATGGTTGAAATACTTTTGTATTATAATTATACTATAGACGTTATTGCATAATGTGTTGCATATATGTTTAAAGACTGATTTGACACCAAAATGGGAAAGTAAAGGAGGTTCCTATTAAATAATTATGTTTCCGTACTTGAAGACCAGTAACAATAGATAGGATATTTATTATTTGTCAAAAATTTTCAGAAATATGTCATTTGGTGTGTTGTTATAATATAGTATAGTAACAACATTCTGCAGACAAAAACTGTTGAAGGCTAACCCTCTGCTAACGTCGGACACCATTGTCCGACATGGCGTTCTAAGTGTTAATCAGAACTTCATGAAAAGCGTGTACTCCTTCTTAAAGCGCCGGCAACGCGCCTGAGCCACTTCTAGTCTAGCGGGAGTCTATGGGCAGTGCTGGTAATTTACCAAAGGGGGATCCGACAGCTAGTTTGCTTCCTATTACATAAAAAAACTCTGTTATACGAAATCATTTTTAAATCCAAATTAAAAAAGCTGGGAGATCTTTTTGCTTTTTTAAAAATCGGCTTATTTAATCTGATTTTGCTTTTTAAAAGAGGATCACAGAGAGATTCGACTTCTGTCACCTGGTTACAATAGCTCTCGCTCTGCAGTGTCCGCGGTGTCATTCAGACGCAAATCTCATCAATCATAGAGCATTGTGCACCAGCCAAGAAATATAAAATGGAATATCCTTTCTACAATTTTTAGATTTCTTGTTATGCGAACTTTTCAAATCTAAAGGACTTACATACATATGTATGTGTATATATTTCAAGTAACTTTATTTTGTACTCACATAAAAATACTGCTTTTCTTCTCTAAATTACCATTACATTGAGAATTGATTACCTATACACACTCTCTTATTGTTTTTAAATAAAATTGTATATATATCATTCTGATTTTAATTTTTTTTATATGTATAGAAAAAGTTTATAAATACGGAAAAGGAACATAAATAAAACTACTAAATAATTGAACAAGTTTACCATCTATTACGTGGAAGTTATTACATAACTTGTTAAGATTTTGTATTATAATTAAATCGCACACTTTTACTTACCCTTTTGGAGATTACTTTGATCACTGCTTCCTCTATAAGTAATCATTCAACTAACAATCCAGAATGCATCAGGAACTAACTGTAGGATTGAATCAACGTCAGACCAATAATTCAAATGATAATTACTCCGTATAATTTCCTGAAAGTACAGTATGGATTGAAATAGCAAATAATCAGCGGGTGATAAATTGGTGTGTCATCGCCATTAGATATTCAGGCATCCCATGGCAACTCCCATGTGATCATCAATCAAAACTGTCGATACGTTTGACGCCTGGTTTATAACAATCCCGTGTACATTTACCTACGGGTTAAACGCTGTAGTTTGTGTGCAAATGTAGTAATTGCAGTTATTACGAAGTTAGTGTACTTATTTGTGTTTTTACACTAAAGTTTATAATAGTATCATATAGATAACTAGGCATTTTTTATGAGACACAAATACAATTTTAGATACACACCACACTCAGACCCGGAACAACAATTTGTTGATCACACAAATAGTTGTTCCGTGCCGGAATCGAAACAGCGACACGTTGCGCGGCAGCTAGTTACCGAGCCACCGCGCCAAACGCGCTGTTGTAATATTTTTTGTTTTTGCTGTTGTTCATAACTAGATTATTGTCTATTTTCAAAAGGCTATTCGTTTTTATAAAGAGGCAACTTTCATCTACCTATGTACAGAGTACAGTATGAATATATTTTATCAAACTACATTATGTATGTGCTTGCAAATAGACCTTTTCACAAGTCTTAACAAACTATAAGACTGACAAACGCAGTCTTTTACCAAAGGAACACTAAAAAACCTTAGGTCAGTTCCACACTAGCGTCTAATGTAAAGAATGTCAAGATCCTCACAGGTCCTCGAGCCAACAATGTCTTTTTATGATGAACAGTAACTTAACAGTCCTTGAGACTCGTAAGAGACGCCATTGTGAGAGAAGGTGGCGATGTATTGTGTTCGAAAGGACTCTTCTTACAAATATGTATGTATACTTGTAATAATGATGTATGTACTTACGTTAGTTGGGCTTGTAATTCGATAGTTCTGTGTGGGTTTCAGTAACAATGTGTTGTCTTTGAGTATGTTTGTTGAGAGACTGTGATTCATGAGTGGGTATATTATTATATGTGTATATAATATTGTGGTTATGTAAGTGTGTCTGTTGTGATTCGTTAATATATCTCTGTCCTTCAGAAATGGTGTAATGTTTACTAATATTATTGACATTGGTGTTTGACAAATGATTTAGTTCAAAATTCCCAATTTTTCCAATATTAGTATTAAGGTTTTGAATAGTCATTAGTATCCTTTTGATTTATAATGTGTATTTTTTTCTATAAACTTATTGGCGTCAATTCTGTTTAAATTCATGTCATGAATTTATATTCGTACGTCGCTTTCAAATTTCTATTTTCAGTATTGCTGACGCTTCATCCAAAACTAAAAGAGTCCGTAGTATATTTTCCGATCCGGAAATTGAATTTCAGCCTTTTAAACCGAGCATACACTTTAATATGTAGCGGTTGAATTCGGTAAAACTATTAAATTTGAAATTTAGACATTACTATTTCCATATAACCTTTTGGACTTTATTGACCCTAAACAACGAAATACAAGAACCACTATTGGTTGATTGTTTTTAGGCACCCTGGAATTGAAGTCAAAAAACTTTCATAACAAAATACTTACATTAAAAAATATACAAATAAAATATAAAATGGATTTAAATTCATACATATAGAACGGGTCTTTATTTCAAATTGGTAAATAGAGTATACAATATTATGAAGTCGAAGATTTCGAAAAAGAAAAACAAAATGATATTCAATAGTAAATTAATAAAGAAACGAAATCTCGTTTAAATTAAATTCAGTGTCCATTTAAAAGAAACACAGTTGAGTCTTAACAACTCATTCTGTGGTTAAACAGTGCTTGTTCTTTCTAAGATTCATAGTAGTTATTTCCCGCAGATGCCGGCGTGTCCCGACCAATGAGACGAGAAGCAACTTCCCCGAAGTGAGCAAGTTACGTGAGTATCTGTGATTTATTATGACTCGGAAAAAATAGGAAATAGTTCCTCGGAATTCTTTTTGATTCCTGTGGTCTCAAGACAAATATATCTTGTTACGGTTATATTTATGACATTGTTTTGGGTTAAGAATTTCTCGTAAATTGATTAACATTGATGTACGAAAAGCCTTGGTCATTTTTCTCTGCCATTTTAATATACAAACAAACAATTTGTAATTTATAAATGTTTTAATATTTAGGCGCGAATAAGCAAATGTTTAAAAGGCAAATTCTTGAAATAACATAAAGGAAACAAAATTCAACGCGGTAAACTTTTTTCCCGAAAAGAACCGTAATGTGGGATTGACAGTTGACGGCTGCGCGGGTAAAAGGCGGGAAAATAAAAAAAAAAAATAACCTAAAAAAAAACGTAATTTTCTCGTGCGAATTGTGGAATCGTTTCTAGAGAAGCGTGGTAGTGGAGTGTCCTCCGTGATCACTGTATTACGCAACAACACGAAAATTAAAGAGCATTTTATTTGAACCGTATTCGTTGGGAAACGTATCTCATTATGTGCGATGGAAATAAATTGGAACAGACTATTTGTCGAACACTTGGTTGCCGCTCCCGATCCGTTTCGATTCAATTTGGCCCAAATTTAATTGCAATTGAAATGGTTGAGTGAAACGAAATCCGCTCGTGGAGATTATCTTTTACGTACAACGACGAAAAAGGTCACGTAATTTAATTTTAATAAATGATTAAAACTCTAAAGTAGCTGAGTATAAGGACTATTTTATTTTGTATTTACTATTAGTTTTTGGAGCGTTGGGGGCTTGTGATAATGCCAGATTAATGCGTCGCTGTTCGCAGGCAATTTATTTTAACTCGAGGTTAAAACATTTTCTGCTTTACCTGGTTCATTTTAAGTGCTCTTTTTATCTTGTAAGAAATGATTTGTGTGTAGGTAGTAAAAAGTAATAAGAAAGCATTTAGGTTCTCGTGTTTTAACGAGGTGCGGTAAGTTTAGAAACATGTGTGGCCAAGTGTGGCTAGTTTTCTGTAGGTACTATGGTATACATATGTACTTACCTAGAAAGCTTACAGTTTCTTTTTTTAAAGAACTTCTTTATCTCTATTTAAATCTCCTCTAAAAGTAATTATCATTACTCAATTTTATTCAACATGGTCTGTAAAGAACTGTCCGCATTTGTTAAGATTCTATTCCATATTAGTACTTTTTGTAGAATTATTAAAATTTACTAAAACGTTCATTGTGGGATTTAAAATAAAGGCTGTTGCCATTAAAAAATAAACCCAATGAATAAATAAATAAGGTGTCAATTGACTTTGTATCCAAAGGTGGGCCAAATTTCCTTTGACATTTATGCCACAGATATTCTGAGGCACAATGACAGGTGCTGTCAATAGTGACGAAGGTTGCACCGAATATTGGAAAAGAGTTCTACATAGGGCCCGATAATAGGTCAAAGTTCAGCTCCGCATTATTCCAGCCAGATATTGTAAGCCCTTTGTGGCAGGGTTACACCATCCATGTCAACCAACTGAATATAAATACGAAAATAGAACGCTTTGTTTTATATGTGTTTTTGTGAACAATAGAGGTCGCTAATTGTGTTATTATTGGTGATATTAATGATGATGACAACACATCAATTAGACTTACCAGAATATCATTTAATACACAAAAACAGACAGCAAAAAAAAAAACGGTTTAAATAAACATAAGTAAAAAAAACCGATAAGATAAATACTTAACATGTACGGAAAGGCGGGTACAGGAAAAATCGTAACACGTATCTCACATCAAGAGTCATAGAATGAGGGAGCCCCCAAAAAAGGAATAAAACCTTTTTGTACAATTCCTTACGCACGCACCCTCGTTTTGTAGGTACCTGACTTCATTCCAGTTCAATTTTGTTGTGAAGATAGCTGCAGGGACCAAATTTATCTTAAACCAAATACATCGGTATTTTTGAGGTATTTGTAACAACAAGTATTATTATAATACTGATATGGTATTCACCAGGATTATGATGAAACATTATTACTTAAAAGAAAGGTTAAATATATACAGGACACACTCATAACGTGGTGGCTTGACTGCTTCACTCCTACTATTTGTAGTTTCTGACTTATAGTATACATATAAATGAGCACAACGTATGTGTTCTTTAACTTATGGTAATTTTCGAAGAATAATTATTTTACAAAGACCTTTTAGGTAAAAAAATACTTAGGTACCATAAGTAGTAAGTTCTACAAATTAGTTCAATATTTGGCAGTGTTATGATTTCACTCTTGCATTTAAACAAACTTAGTAATAAAACTTCAATACCAAATTTTCATGATTATCATAACCACCCTAATTCTACTGCAGCGCCATCTACTAAGGTAAAACAAGCTCATTAAACTAAAATATTTTTTGGTACAGGCAAGAACAAAGAAGAAGGCGACACATGGCTTCTGTTCCGAGGCAACAAATATGTTTACATCCAGTGTTTATATCGCGACAACACTGAAATAAGCGACAAACTTAACAGGTATGTGTTTTGTGTTACTTTGTCAAGTTTATTTTTTGTTTTATGAGTGGAGTTTGTAGCTAAGTTACGGTTGTGAAGACCAACCGTTCTTAAAATAAAATTAGAATTGAGTACTGATGGTTTGTGTGTGAGATACCTAACAATGTTGCAAGTCATTTTATATATTGTGTTAAGATGTTCACGACGTTTTCTTTCCCTGTTTGTCAGTTGTGTCTAGATAGACTTAGAAAGTACTTGGATCGGAAAACGGGTATTTTCACTTGTATTGCGTGTGTCCATGAGCGGCGCTGATTGCTAACCACAAGGTAATACGTCTGCTCGTTTATTAAAACTTAGTTTCCGATCGTGACTTCACACGCATATAAAAGTAATATATCTGGTATTTTAAAAACAGCAGCATTTAGCGATCGCTAAAATACGCATATCAAGTAGGTATAATATATAGCACTATCAGTGAAAAAACTTGGAAATTCGACCAGAGCGGTTTCAAAGATTACCCCCTAAATACAAACCTACAAATACCTCTTTATAATATTAGTATAGAAAAGTATCGATATAAAATAATTAATCTTTGTCTGACAAACGAAGCAGCAAATATTTTCATTAGAAAAACATTGCTGTGTAAATAACATAGAAAAATAAAAGATAAAATATTAATGTAAGAACGTATTCTAAGCTAGTTACGTAATACCAAGGGAATGAAAAGAAAATATGGTACAAAGGTATTCAATATGACGACTTAGTTACACCGGTAGAGGGCGCTTCGGAAGGACATGTGTTGACCTCATTTGTAATGTCCTTCTCAAAGGTCAAGAGTGAAGTATTCGTTAACGAATACGTACCTACTGGTAGATACTTATATAAATGGGAAAATATGAAAGAAATGTGTGCAAACAGAGATATATAATGTTTTGTTTTTATGAAGAAGGGCGGGAAACGATCTTAACCTTACCTTACCTGATGGTTTTTTTTGTGAGTGAAAAATCATAAAAGGCTTCTCCCGGCGGGAGGGAGTGTCAGACTAGCACTGGCTAAAAACCCACCTGTTCCTTCTCCTGCTCTGGGCCGAGGTCGCGGTGCCTCATTGCGCTTACCCCGCAGCCCCGGCTAAACATCAGCCTTATAGGGCCCCGTCTGTACCTTACCTGATGGTAAGGAACCAGATCAGAATCAGAATCAGATATAAAACTGTTTATAAGCAATCATCAGTTAAAATTCCAGAGGACATACAATACGGTTGTTTCCAACTAGTCAAATTCAATACTTTTATCCAAATGTCAAAAACGATACTTTTCTATGAAAATTGTATGAAACATTGAATTATGACGTCATAGCATTTTTGCGTCAAATAGCTTACTTATTTTTAAAAAATTAGCTAAAAAATATCTAAAACTTAGTGTATCGATCGATCGATAAAAAAAAGTATAGTTATTTTTCAATATTTTATCGTATTAAAACGTCGATTTAATTTATTTTTGACCTAGGAAACTACCCAATTCCATAGCCAACCTTATGTGTACTGCTAGATACGTATCTAAATGCCGAAAATATGAAAGCAATGTGTGCGGATCGAGATAGAATATGTTTTTTTTAAACGATCTTAAGAATCTCCTAGTGGTCAGTAATCGACGCCGCCGATAGTCATTCGAAACTTTTGAGAAGTTACAAGTCCATTGCCGGCTTTATGTGGATTAAGTACGGAGGTACTGTTGGATAATCTTACTGACACGCCAAAACAACATATGCATAGTTTCGTGCACGGTTTTCTTTTGGGTCGTGGTATCTCGGCAGCCGAACTGGCTTATTCATGCCGAAGGATGGCTGTCTCACTGGTATATTCTTCAGTTCTCAAAATTTAAGAAAGATGGCAATAGAGTGTATGATCATCTCCAACGAACAAATGATAAAAGAAAAAATCTAAATTTGAAATTCGAAGATGAAATTCTAAGTTATCTACGATTCTCATCCATTCTACTTATGAAATCGAGATAATGTCTTGACAAATAACAAAAAAAGAGAAAAAGAAAATGTTGCTAACTCATAATTAAATTCTTTGAAAGTAACATCTCTTATAAATAACTGAAATCCTTCATCGCTATCTTTCATTTGATCATGAAAGAGAGCAAATTATAGTTATTTATAACTTTTTATATGTATCTCATTGATGGAACCATTACATATTTACTTGTACGTAATGTTTTATTACATGCCTTAACATCGATAGATATATATGTATGGATAGAATATTATACACCAACGTACTATGCAAGGTTTATAATCCTGAGTCAAAAATAAGTTTAGGTAGGTTTTGAGTTGTTGTGTGTGTGTGTGTGTACTAGTGTGTGCGTATTTCTGAGCGTGTGTGCTTATGTGTGCGTGTTTCTGTATATGTGATTGTAAAATCGGGTAGATATTAAAGACCAAGAGATAATTAGTATAACAATCGTCACATCCACTCAGCTTTTGAGATGATATCTTGTTATAAAAAAATGCTTATCCCTTCACCAATTCAGGCTGACTTTATACTACGATGAACACCACTTGATGTCCAATTTTATTAACAAAAACTTTGTTGTTCACAGTCAAACTTTGGCCATTAACGTCACCAAAATCCTATCAGCGGATACTCAAAATATTGGTAAGTTACCGTTCTGATATAAAGTTGGCTCAAATATTCCTATATCATCGCCGCCCCGCGCGCCGCGTCAGCCCGACTTCCAACATCGAAAACATCTTTTAACTTTATATTCTCCAAGTTTGAATAAAGTGAAAATACTGATTTACCGTTTATCTACAAGCCAAACTCGAAAAATATCGGGTAGCTGTTTATTTATGAGGTAATTTACTTTTTATGTAGAATAAATTTCAATTACGACCGACCGCTGAAGTAATAAGCTTGGCCTGAGTCGGCAGCTTTTTCAATACGGTCACAACCACAATACGATAAATTACCGTCCTAATTCGATCCGGTGCTCGTAATGTGGGTTCATCAAACATCTTGTTTGTGCGACATAAAGTACAATAGAGAGGAAACCTCGACCCGCCCGTGGCATTAGCGGCGTCCGTCCTCGTCCCGCAATTTCGCTCCACTTTGTCTCCATTGCTTGCTGTCTCCACGGTCACGGAACAAATGAGAGATGAAAACGGTACGACGACGTTTCTTTTCAGACTTAGGACGGTCCCAGTATCATTAGTTACACGATACGATACAACAGCCTCTGCGAGGGAAACCTTGTACCAGACGGAGAAATCGTTGATTAAACGAGTTATTTCTTCTTAGATTGAATAAAACGTCCATTACTTCTGACTTGTTATAGGTTTTAATTAAAGGAGGGAGCCGTCGCGACGCCGTTTTCTACTTTTTTCATAATAATTAAAGGGTTGAAAAAAAATCTCGCATACCACGCAAAAAGAGAAACGGCGACGTAACATTGAAGCCGTATGTTTATGAGTTTCCCTAGTTTTCAAAGGGAAAGATATTGCGCTCCGTGCTCGTATTTGAGGAACAAGAGTGTAATTCCCCGAGGTTTTGTCTTGCGGCAACACATCCTACAAATGAAAAGATGCCGACATTCAAAGCGAGCTGGTGCATTTTTAAATTCTCGCTGTGGCCGGTTCGGGGCAAAAACTCATGTGGGTTCGCAACTAATGGACTTTTTAAGCGTGTTTCGTTTCTTTCATTCGTCCATGCATATATTTAGCTAGAACGAGGCCAGCGTATTCCGATCACGCGGCACTACTTACCTACTGTAGCGTCCCGTACATTCAGTTACGATTAGTTTTAATTTCACTCCCGGGACACAGAAAACTATTCTGCGCTCGACTGAGTCGTTGTTCTCTTGTGAGATTTATTGCTAAAGTTTACTGCAGAGCGTTTTAAAATGGTATGTTCTTATTGGTAAGCCAGGCTTCATATATACTATTCTTGTTTGTCCTCAACGCTGTGTACTGTACTTCTACACTATTAACTTTTGCAATGATTTTATTTAGATTTTTTCAATTGTTTTGTCCTTTTCCAAGTTTTATCGTCCATATTGAGTTTTATCGTTCTTCTTGTTGATATCGAAATACATAATTCATCATTCGAGATTAATAATCATTTTCTGAGTAGGTATATAATTGATATACTGATTCACTCATTATACCAATCACGTATCATATTGCCGCGCTTAATAAAAAAACCGCTTAATGCTGTAACCAAAATTGTTACAAAGGCAATTCTCTATTTAGCGGGATTTTAATAGATGCAGTTACTGATGTCTGTGTATACAGAACAGATGGCGCAGTTTTCCACAAGCTTGTAAAGCATTGAGGGGATGAGACATTGCGATTCATTCTCGCATTTAAAAGCAAGACTGTAATTTCACAGGCCTTTGTCTCCGCCCCGCGCGGGACGTCGGCTTGCAGGAAAATATGCGCATTCAAAATGGATTTTTATCGCTTTTCAAGTGGTAGGCTTTAGCTGTGTTGTCTGTTCTGAATTCTTTAACGATCCATATAACAGTCCGTGCTTTATAGAAGACGTGTATCGCTTGTATTGTATTGTTGGGACTTGATAAAAGAGAAAAATGTCAGTATTGATACATAAGAAATAAACTAGGAATTAATTATTGGCAATCCAACCAAAAGCTCATAAATCGAAATATCACAACAGTTTCAATAAACACTCATCCTAAAATAACCCACAATTTTCGTTAGTAAACTGTTCAGGTAAGCAAACCCGAACTGATAACTTCGACAATACCTACTCAAAGGTTTAATTAGCTGAGTTTGCGAGGTAAAACTCATAAACTTTCCGAATAATAAGGTCGGTCAAGCCGAGCCGTGATGGTCAGTATGACCAGATTCCTTCGTTTGTTTGCTTAGGACGACACCTTTTACTGAGACGTGCCAAGTACTCACGACGAGACCTTGTAAGACAGGCTCTTGTTTGGAGTAATTACACTCCCGTGCGAGTATTTACCTTGTACGATATTTAAATGAGAACACCTAAGCGTTCTCGACGACAGCGCTAATATCCACTAATTGTGCCATGTTCACATGACGCGCTTGTTTTATTTTACGTCACAAATACTTTATGCAACGTGTGGCCTTATTCAGATCGAGCGCATGACTAGGTCACTGTACTCTTGGAAAGTTCACTGTATTGATTTTATTGCGCACGCCCGAAAATATAAATGGAATCTGGCGGCGTACCTACGGAACTGGCCATTGATTTAATAGCCATGAATAGGTATGGCGGACGCGGACTCGTATCTACATCAAGCATGTCAATTATTCAGGGGATGTGCAATGCTATCCTGTATACACAGAAAAGTAATCTGGCAGCCGTAATGCGCCCTAACCGAATTGAATTAACTTGATGAAATACCCGCCGCGTGTCAGCACGTTTGATGTTTTAAATGTAATTTACTTGATGGCACAATTAAATTTGAACTTTAGCTTACTGTTTTCATTAAACATTTTCCGTTTTACAGGTTACATCAAATTAGTGGAGACGAAGAATGGCTTCGAATGCGAAAGTTTACTGAAGTGCACATCCATCGACTCGGGACGACAGTAAGTTTATCACGAGTACTCGTTAATATAAGAATTCGAATGTTCTCACATAAAATTGTGAACTGTCTGACATTTGTTTTGTGGAAAGATGAAGTTTATCCTTCCGCCCCAACTTTACATTTTACGACGGAAACTTGCAGACAGTAATAATGTGAAATTTATCAAGATGTCAGAGCCACGTGGCGAGAAAGTTTGAACCTAATTCTGTATGACGTAGACCACAAAATATAGTAGCACGTAGTCGTCGCGACATCGTTACGTAATTATTAGACTCGACGCCGCTGCGGGCCGACGACCCCGCTCGACTTTGACCTACTTCTTACTCTAATTTTCGCGTCTCAACCCTGTAGACAACTTCATCTATATCTGTATACTTGTTATAACTACTGGGGAATTCGTGGATTGGATATATTATTATGCTGTGAGCGTGTCGCTTGATTGTATAAATAGTTTTAATATAAAATTTGCTCTTTACCATTTGGGCATTTGTGTCACTTAAGTTAATTTAAAATGTATCGTCACGCTCCCGTTTACGACCGCACCTTCCACAAATATTTTGGCAACAAACCTCTTCTAAAACTTTATATTCAATGTAATGTTTTCTTTCAATTATCTATGATTCGAGAGGTTTTACAGAAGGGTTGAATAAAACAACATTATGCAAAGAACGCTGTTATTTCATATTTTATTCTGAAACGGATCTACGTTTGTTTTATCTTTTAAGTGCGTACGAAGTAAATACTTAATTTTTTTTATATGTGTACTACAAATTTAATGCACTCGATTTTATGGCATTTTATGAACCTTAAAAATATATTTAAGTAGGTCACATTTTTCTTTAAAAATGTAATAAATACGACTAGGAAGTACAAAATGGCTGTAAATAAAAATAAGAAAAGGACGCCAAGACTACAAATAGTAGTAACACAAGGCGACACTTTAACTCGTCTAAGTTGGTGTTAAACCCGGATTTCCTATAGCTCTTCATTCTTCCGAATACACTCACAATAAAACTTTATCTTGGAGTACGGCCGCCTCTTCCCAACTTTGTCATATTCAAATGTACTTGAGAAACTTGAGCCTTGTTTACATATTGCACACAACAAACCTATTAGAGTAAAAAGTCGTTTCGATTCTTATTATTTTGATGAAAGATTTGTTTTGGGAGGGTTATGTTTTGAAATTCGAAAATGTCGCGGTGTTCTAAAGGTAGACTTCTCATGCATGAGGGTTCAAAATCTAGCCAGTACCAATATGCCTTTTTCTGAGTTATACCTATATACTTTCTAAGACTATTTAGATACCACAGACAAACGGTAACGAGAAAACTTTTTTTTTATGTAATAGGTCGGCAAACGAGCAGACGGATTACCTAATGGTAAGCAATCAGCGCCGCCAATGGACACCCGCAACGGAGGAGTTACGAGTGCGTTGCCGACCTTTTAGGGATTTGGGATTTGGAGATTCGGGAACTGGGGAGGGATTAGGGAAGGGGAAGGATTGGGCCTCCGGTAACCTCACTCACACGGCGAAACACAACACTGTGGTTATTTCACGCCGGTTTTCTGTTAGGCCGTGGTATCACTCCGGTCGAGCCGACCCATTCGTGCCGAAGCATGGCTCTCCCATACTTAAACTTAAAATTTAATTCAATGTTTTCTAGTTTATGCGTATCATTGCTTATCTCCTAGGGGAATAATAGAACTCGGATTGACGTCGAAAAATAGCACGTAGGTAACGAAATTCGTTCACCATTTTTTTCCGATCATTTTTCCATCAATTTTCCAGTTAAATGCAACACAGCAACACAGGTAAAATGCTTCGTAAATCAAAATGTAATTTCGATCCGTTGAATTTTTAGAGAATGGAATGACGTTTCAATATGTAGGTTGTACGTTTGACGGGACTCCGATCAGCTTTTACGAAATTAAATTCCGTTGTAAATAAACGATGATATTAATCCACCATAAAAAGTATTTTTCATATTTATAGGTATTTCATAAAAAATGCTTCAGTACGTATGGGCTCTCTCAATTGGAATCTAGGACACTACAGAAAAGAGTTATCTTCGTGTACAATCCTTACCAACCATCTGTGGTTTTGAACACTTCAATCCAGCCGGCATCGCACTTTTAAGGCATACGTTCTTTGTCTATACCATCTATACGAATATTATAAAGAGTTATATGTTTGTAAGTTTGTAGGGGGTAATCTTTGGAACCGCTGGTCAGATTGCCAAAATTCTTTCACTGATAAATAGCTACAATGTGCTGAGTGCTATAGGCTATAAAACATCACGTTACGATTAAATGGAGCCGAGCAGCGGGTGAAACCGCGCACGAGTAGCTAGTCGGTGATAAGTTGTAAGTATCTAGAGTTGCAGTGTTAATGATCGATGCTGAAAGATGACCATCAGGTGATAAATGAGCTTGTTTGCCTCCTTATCGCAAAAAAAAACATCAAGGTGCTGAAAAGTCCACACAACAATATACTAACGTCAATGATTTCGTTGTTATTCTATGGGTCCCTTTAATTAGCAACAGGAGTTTTATGGCATAGCAAAGCCTTCTTCTCACACAAAAATAGTTTGATTAATGGCACCACAAAGGCTTCTTCTCTTACAAAGATGGTTTGGACATTAATCACCACGCTCGCTCAAGGCGGATAAGTGATTTTAAACTTATAAATTTTAAGTGTTAGTATTATTACGATACGTTCCTTTATCGCATATCAGTGGTGTCTAAATAATCTCAAAAAGTATATACAATAATTCGAAAAACGTTACATTGGTAACCGGGTTCTAAACCCATTCAAAGTAAGCAGCGCCTTGTATTCCGAGAAATCACGTTTTACTAAGAAATATTTTAAATACAGTAAATAAAATATTAAGAAAGAACTATCGTGTATGTTAAATAATAAACGATGCGTGCGTTACACGAAATTAAAGAAAAATATTTCATTATTCCCAATACGCGGGAATACATACGGAAATTTCTGTTGAATAGTATAATTAAAAATACCAACGACACCGAACGTAATAATATTACGTAGCTAAATAAAATCTATATAGCGATGTAAAATAGTTTTTGTTGTGTACTATTTAAAAGTTGTTCAAATAAAACTTAATTTTCGATCCACTGAGTAATTTCAAATCGTGCCATGAGGGGCAATGCTCATAATCAGCACGCTTGGCAGGCGGGTTGGTGATCGCAAGAGCTGAACATCGAACCAGTGGCGTGCAATTGGGGAGGCCTATGTCCAGCAGTGGACGAAATCAGACTGATGATGATGACTGTACTGTACCTAAATGTGAAAGAAAGAAAATGCATTTTTACGGCATCAGACATGAAAGCCAGAACAAAACAAAAATACAACACAAAAAACAATAAAAAGGTTAAAAAGACTGAAAAACAAAAATACGCTAATTATACAGTATCATATACAGTTCTACAGGGTTGGCAGACATGGCTAAACCGAATGGGTCGCCAACTCAGCAAAAAGCTGGGCACACTTAGCACCCAACACTGATTTTCAGTTGGCACCCCTGCAGTGTCGCATCAACCAACCAGTAATGACAAATAACAGAGATTATTATGGAAGAGCCATGGTTCAACACGAAGGACCTGCTTGTACTGTGTACCTAACTACAGCCTCTTCGCTGTGTGAGTGATGTTAAATTCTTAATCTTCAAGACCTGCCATAAAACAAGAAAATGCACTAGCTACAACCCTGGTACTGCAAGTGTCTTTGGACTGCACCAATTGGTTACATACCTGGTGAAACGTCTACTCATGCCTTATCCCTTGAAAAGGGGGCTAGTTATTCACGATCAAACCTAGTAGGCAAGTAAGGATAAAAGTCGTACAGTACCCGAACCAATACGTACTTACATAATAAAATTAATTACAACACATTTGTACACCTTTCTCCAGACCCATGTACACAAATTAATTAAGAATGTACGGCCATTTTTCTCGACATACATATGTAGGCAAGCAATTAGTAGAGGTTTCAGTAAAAGGAGAACCCGAAGAAAATAATTTCAGTTCGTTATTCAGCCTTCTGTGGGTGTAATTGGTAGGCTCTCTGTCCCACCCAGAGGGGCCACGTGGTTGTACATCAAACAAAACGGTCTAAATTACAGCCTTTTAATTCTCGACAATTAATAAATTGAATGGTTTTCTTTGTAAGGATGCCGCCTGTGTGTCGCCACCGTCGCTTATATAATTGTACACATATGCGATCCATTGTGTTTATTCAAAGGCTCAACCTTGGATGTTTTAATGTGTGTATCATTACATTTATCGTTATCATTTATTAGCGATATTCTCGCCTTTATTCGCGAAAAGGAATTTATCATTGAAGGGATAAATTATTTATTGAAAAGAATCTGTAAACGGTATGAGTATCAGCCGATATTCCTGTATGAAAATTGGAAATGTTGAAATTTGTCAGGCTCGCAGTAGCAATTGTGTTCGTTGTATTACATACGACTAATAATAAGTAGATTTTTAAGACATTTGGTAATTGGTGATCATCGCTCATAGTATAACTAGTCGTTCTATTAGATGAGTCTTAATGTGTTTCATTATCATCGTTGTGAACCCGATTACCCACTTTTGAGCAAAGGCTTCTTCTTACGTTACGAAGGTTGGAGTGGAACATTAACAGCCACGCTTTTTAAATGCGTATTGGCAATTTGAAACTTATATTTAGAAGTAATAAGTTCAGTTTTTCCTTACGACGTCTTCCTTTACCACATGTCAGTGGTATCTAAATAAACGTACATGAATAATATACTCAATCAATGTAATGTTGATCTACCTCTATAAATTAAAAAGAGATGAATATATTGCAAGATAGAGAAAAAAAGCTGCAGTAAAATAAACATAAAAAGTATGCATGTAAAGAAGAAAAACCACATAAATGTATGGTTTAAATAATATTACAATATACATCCTAGGATACTCGTTTGATAATATATTCTTTCTCAGTAGTAATAAGGTATTAATTGGCTGAGTATGCTACATCAAAGACCAATTTAATGAAGTAATTAATGCTGTTCTACGTGGGTCGTCTAAAGAATATGCGGCAACTTGTTTACACATTTAATACTGAACTTTAATTAAAACTAATTAAGGATGTGTTTTGTCTGCAGGCTCGATGGCAGTAAGGTGTATATTACAAAACCAAGTCTAGAAAAGATGGTGTGTGATGCGTTGAAATTGCACGAAGCAGATGGCCTTCAAAATAGAGGTATGTATTTCCGAAATACCTTTTTGTCTCAGCCTTATAACTGTTTTTTTCAAAAAAAACATTGCCCCACGTTACTATTTTCTCTTGTATCGTGGGTGCGTTTACGAATATACTAGTGTACATACACAGAACCGGAACAACAATTCGTGGATCACAATAGGTGTTGATCTGAGCGGAAATAGAACCCGCGACACAATGCGTGACAGCCAGTTGCGTCGAACTCTTGACTTTTTGTGTTGGTTGTGGTTAAAATTTAAGTCGGAATCTCGGGTCATCCTACACTAGGATTTTCTCCTGTATGCGTTTACAAAAATAGAATTTCACATATACAAGACACCCAGACCCGGAACAATAATCTGTGGATAACATAAAGAGTTATCCCTTGCGAAAATTGAAACCGTGACACGCTGTGCGGCAGCCAGTTGCCCAGCCGCAGCGCCAAACGTGCAGGCAAACTTCTTAAAAACATATCCATACTTTTGTCACACTTTACGTATTAACCTAATAAATAATACCTCCAGTACTGTTACTCTGTACAGTGAGACTGGCATCTGTTCAAACTTTATGTCAAAAGCACTTGTTGGGTTCAAGCAAACATGTTTGCAGGCTGAAAGTCCACCTCCTTTGATACCAACCTCTATGACATTACATGCAGCGAGTAATGTGTTTTAGCTACACTAATAAGTTTTAATTGTCATTTATAATTCTTTTTGAGTTTTGAAATGGTACACTTTGAATTTTCTTGCGATTAATTCTTAGCGTGTGCTAATAACAAAAGTGTTGTTTAAAACAAACCAAAAAAATAAAAACTATTTTATCGACACAATTAATAAAATATTGTATAATAATATACACTATTCTATCGATAATTTCTCATGTAACACAACATTACTCCTCCAAAACGGTTTTAAATTTTCACATAAATTTAACAAAAAGTAACATTTTAATTATCCTCGACACTAAGAATTCTGCTGATTTCAAAATCAAATTATTATTTAATTAAGTTAAAACACATTGCATGCCGTTCTCAAACAATAAAATAAAAATATTAAATAACCCGTGAGAATATCAATTTGTTAAATTAATATTAATAAATTGATTTTCGAAGAATCATCCAGGCTTTTTTCATTGAATAAAATTATTTCATGTACATTTTAAGTATAAAAGTGTATATTTCTTGTTATATTTTTTCCAATGTATGTAGTAATAACAAAACATATACAACATTACCTATTAAAATACAACAACATAAATGAAATGAAAAAAAAACACATAAATAAACCGTTTAAAAATTACAGCAAATTTATTCGAAATTCGAATACTACACCAAAGATGCCAGTATCACAAATAACACGCAATAAAAGAGGACAAATACGTATAGAACCTTCAAAAGAAAGAACATACGATTATAGCGTGACCCATGGGCTTACATTTACGGCGATCAAGCCGAAAATACAAAACAAATAAAGTTTTCTCTGCGTAAATATATTCCGTCCTACATACGTAAAGTGTCGTGGGTGAATTCACATATATTTTATGTAGGAATACGCAATGAAGGTGATATATAAGGTGGAATGGAAAGGGTATATGTGTACATAGATACGTACTTTTGTGGGTGAATCCTAGTGGCTCAAATCACGGAACAGTAGAACATTATTGTGCTTGCAACTAATCAGTAAGGGAAGAACTCTTTGAAAGATTTTTTGTGCCTATACAGTTGAGACTTAAAGCAATGTGTTGAAACATAGATCAAAGAGGCATAGACAATTTTCGAAGACATTCAAATTAGATAATACTTCACAAAAATGTTTTTATTAGATTCTTAGACCATAACAGACTGAGTATGTTAATCAAGTTTTATTGAAATCGGTTTAGCAGTTTCCATATTTTTTTATTAAAAACAGATTTGACTTACGGATCTTAATGTATAAAACGAAATTCAAGGTATACTAAGGTAAAGGTAGAATAACATAATAAGAGTATTTTCTTTGTCTTTCTTTTTATTTTCTTCTACTTTCCCAAAAACCTTCCATATTTCCTCAATCATTTTCGCTTTCATGTCCAAAGTAAGTAATTTATACTCCACTTATGTAAGTATCCCTAATTTGGCCCGCCTGGCAGACAATATAGATGTTTCATATATAATCATTCCGGGTCATAATAGCAATGGATCTTCTCATGTTATTTTGGGGGAACATAAAAACCTTGCGATTCTCACAATAATATGGCCGAATTTAGACATTTTTTTTCGTTTGCATTGTTAGAGGCATTTTTAAAAGATAGCCATTTTCAATAATCGTTGTGAGTGAGATTTCTGAATGTCATTAAAAATCGCATAGTATTAATGATGTCTCGTATTTTTTTCCATTTTAAATCGATGCCAATAATCGATACTTAGTTAATTAATAAAAATTTTTTTTTCCTAATAATGTTTTGTTTGCACCATTATATTTACAAGGGAAGTTAGGTACTATTGAATATGTAGCCATTCTACAAGTTCAAACTACATCACGCGTAATTTAATCAAAAGTCAAAATAGAATAACAGTACGTCAGTCTATTCGTCAGTAAAACTAAAAGTATAGATTCGAATGGAGAAGAACGAGCTACAAACTTCTTAGTTACCGTTTTAAAAATAATATTTTATATTTTCTTGTTTGACGTTTTGATCATGGTATACTTTTTTTTTGAGGGAAAATCATCAAATAATTCTCCCTCCATAGGTACGGTCGGAGGGAGTATCAGACTCTTACTGATTATTAAACCCCCCCCCCCCCCCCTCCCGCCGATACTGCTCTAGGCGAGGCCGCGGTGCGTTATTGCGCTTGGCCCGCAACCCCGGTGGAATATTTGTCCTATAGGGCCCTGTCTGTGGTGGTCTATTGGGTCTTTCAGGCGCACGCGGAATGCTACGCGCCGTACGCTCGGGTCACTTGTGTACTGACAATCTAACTACTAGTACTATTTTATACTAATAGCAGTAACACTTTGTTCTAGTAATACAAAAAAGTATCCATTCGTTCTTAGAATTATTATTATCACACTACTGACATATTTTACTGATATATTTTAGATTTATACAGTGGCTAATCTAACAAATTAAAACTAAACTTAATTATTCAAATCTTAAGTATCTCAAATGTATAAAACTATTATAATAGATATTAAATAATATTATGGATTTCATTATTACTGACAGTAATCAAACAATAAGACGATCCAGATTATTTTAATAAAAACCATTTCGTCGGACTTTTACGACTTGCTATAAAACAAACATAAATTCTCATGTAATAAAATTCAATTTGAACCACGCATTAACGAGGATATAAAGAAAACTACGATATAAAATAAAATCAAACTTTAAAAGATACGTTATTTCTTACATTTTATCTTTTATTCCTTTTTCTCGGCGATCTCCGATTCTCGGATTTTCTCGGAGATTCTCGGGATACATACATAGATTTGGGTTTCGGGGTAACTTAGTCTAATTACATATGTCTGCCCTATTTATTTTTAACTAGCTTTTGTCTGCAGCTTCGCTCACTTTGCATTCGATGTCAAACGGCACCCTTTTTCGGATTTTGAACAGAAAACAGACAAAATTTAAAATGCTACCAAGACGATATTATGTTTATTTTCCGTTTTGGAAGAAAAGTTAAAAAAAAATATCTCAGGTATTTTTCTTTGGTAAAATAAGTGTGTTTTTTATCTTTGTTCTTTGGAAACTGTGAAAAGGCTCATTTTAAATTCCTCTCGCTGTTTTATCTAAACAAAATGAAAAAAGATACATAAAGCGGACTTAATGCCATATTGCATTTTCTATCAGTCAACCTTTGGGTCGAGTAGAGAAATCAATGGTAAAACATTAAAAGAAATATTTTTTGTAAAGTAACAGGAAAAAGGAACCATTAAGTACCGGAGGCCCAATCCTTCCCTTCCCCCAATCCCTCCTCAATGCCTAAATCTCCAAATCCCTAATCCCTAAAAGGTCGGCAACGCACTCGTAACTCCTCCGTTGCGAGTGTCCATGGGCGGCGCTCATTGCTTACCATCAGGTAATCCGTCTGCTCGTATGCCGACTTATTACATAAAAAATAAAATAAAAAAGTAAAACTATTATTGAGATTGAGATACAAATTATAAATAGTATATGTAGGTAAAATATACAAATACATACAGGACGCATGTAACTTAATTTAGAAATTTTTCCTTTCCGTGCTCATTTCATACTACAGGAACAATTATAATGCATTTAAAAAAGATTGGTTGGGCGGATCAAGGATGACAAAAGCAAAAAAACAATCAAATAAAATTTAGAATTTACTAATAATCTTTGTCAAATCGAAATAGTTGTGATTATTTTTATGTCGTAATTTAAATTGTTTCATGTTTTCTATAAGTGGAAGTCTTAAAAACTGATGTCGATTTTTCTATAAAAACTCCTTAAAATTTATCAGAATCAATTTATCTCTATATTAAAATTGCATACAACACTTATATCTCTAAAAAACCTACCTAAACGTTAAAAAACCTTCTTTAAACAAAAGTCTCACATTAAAAGGAAAAAATTTCCCTGTAAAGCTACCTTTATTGTTTCATAAACTTTGTTATAAATTCATCTTAAATGCGTTGAAAAATAAAACATCAACATTAAAATGCGGGGCGGTCACTAAAATCTGTTATGAGGTGTACCACAATCCGGGCGGCGAGGAGATATGGCCGCGGCCTTATAATAAGTCGGGTTATAAATAAAAATGTCTGCCGCGATGGGGTGGGTTACCACAAATGCTAACTGGACAGGTGACTTAGTGCATTTATTACTGGACTGACTTCATATTTTCTTATAAAATGTGTCCGTTTTAAAACTTTATTTGTTAATTCAGACTACGGGATTAAAGGAATTAGAAGAAATGAACTAAATAAATAAAAATAAGAAATAAAAATAAGAAAAATAAAAATAAGAAATAAACTGATTGAAAAAGAGTAACTATGGAGAGT